CTCCAATCCTCTCTCCCACCCTCTCTACCCCTCTTTCTTCTTTCCCTCTACTCCTCCCTTCGGTGTATTTCTACTATCTATCAATATATTCAGCTTGTTTTCTTTTTGCACTAGAATTAAAGAGCAACAGTATACAAGTGCAATCGTGTTACTTTGCAAAGATCCCATTCTTGATAAATATCACCATGATTTCCATAATATATGACTGCATTCTTAACTAAAAGAATTTGGCTTCTGCTAACCAACACTGTGTAATATCACACAGTCAATAATGGTTTTGGCTTTACCAAAAATGAAAAACAAACTGCTGAGAGATTCACCAGTTTCATAGAGCTGAGAATATTGCATCTAGATATCAAATGCAGTCTGCCCTCATTTTCCTTGATAGCTGAATGACAACCTATAGATAAGACTTTCACTAGGTTTATCTTTAGCAATAGCACTTAGACTTATATACCACTTTACAGTGCTTTACAGCCCTCTCTAAGCAGTTTATAGAGTCAGCATATTTCCCCCCAACAATTTTGGGTTCTCATTTTACCCACCTCAGAAGGATGGAAGGCTGAGTCAACCTTGAGCCTGGTGAGAGTTGAACTGCCAAATTACAGGCAGTCAGCACAATTAGTCTGCAGCACTGCACCCTAACCATTGCACCACCATGGCTCATCTATAGTGGAACAGAGTTGTTTCTCATATTTCATTTAAGATTCAGGATCAAACCAGAATATTTGCAGAATGATGCGAACTAATCAGACTGTTTTTCAAACTGAGAGAGAATTCATTTGATGAATTGGGTGATTTTTGCACCAAGCTACCTTTAGAGCAGTGGTTCTCAACCTTCCCAACGCCGCAACCCTTTGATACAGTTCCTCATGTTGTGGTGACCATAAAATTATTTTCGTTGCTACTTCATAACTGTAATTTTGCAATTTTTCGATTGTCTTAGGCGACCCCTGTGAAAGGGTCATCCAACCCCCAAAGGGGTCACGACCCACAGGTTGAGAACCGCTGCTATAGAGGTTCCAGCTTTACACTTTCCATTTGTAATCCGTTTGTACTGTAAGGACAATTTAAAATTTCATTAAAAAGCATCAAAGTGCAGATTTGCTTGTTTATTGTATTCCTTGTGTGCCACTATTTGAATATTACATTAAAACAAATTAATGGTACTCATAAAATAATTAACTTAAAATCATTAATTTTAAATAGATATATCCTTATATGCACTGATCTATTTTATGCTATTATAGCCATGATGGGGGACCTATGGCACACATGCCACATGTGGCACACGGAGCCTTATTTGCTGGAACACCAGTCGTCAGCTCCAGCGTGCCAGCTGATTTTCAGCCTTCTGGAAGGCCGGGGGAGGCCATTTTTGCCCTCACCAGGCTTCAGAAAGCCTCCAGAGGTTTTGGGGTCATACGCTCATGCGTGGGTTGATGTGTGGCCATGGGTACATGAGCAGGTGGGCGGGGAGAATTGAATTGATGTGGGCATGTGTGCGTGCGCAATAGCACACAGGCACACAATTTTGGCACGCCATAGAAAAAAGGTTTGCCATCACTGCGCTATAGTTTTAGAGAAGAAATGGCTCTAAGAAATGCTATAACCAATGAACCCCGAAGATCCTTTACTTGCAAAATGTATTCAGATGTGTGGATTCATGATTGAACTTATGCCATATCACTGTTCTTGTGTATCTTCATTCAGATGGATGAGATCAAAGCAAAAGACAGAACTATCTTTTCTTTGGAGAAAGAGCTGGAGACCCTGACAGGATATGTTCAGAAGCTTCAGCTACAGAAAGAAGCATTGGATGAACAACTGTTTTTGGTTAAGGAGGCTGAATGCAACATGAGCAGTCCCAAAAGAGAGATCCCAGGCAGAGCAGGAGATGGCTCGGAACACTGCAGCAGTCCTGTAAGAAGCATCTTCTATTTCATCACACTGGGATTTTGATTGGGTTTGCTTATTGCATCATTGCTCTGCTTTCCATGAGTGGCATCTACTCATGAACTATGCAATACTCCCTCTTGTGGTAATTCAAAGGCTACACTTTAGTTCTGATTCAACTGTGTAGTTAATTCAAAACAAGAGATGATGAAAAGGAGGAGAAGCAGAGGTGGGTTGCTCCCGGTTCGGCTGAACCGGTAGTGGTGATTTGACCTGGGTTGCAGAATTGGCAGCGACCCAGGCTGGCCATGCCCATGAACCGGTTCCCTGGTCTCTTCTGCCATTGCTGGCATGTTTCTGCGCATGCACAGAACAATGTTCAGTCAACTGAGCATGCGCAATGCAAAGCACGTGCGAAGTGAACCAGTACCAACCGGTACAAGGGGGGGGGGATCCTGAGAAGGAGGAGGAGGAGGAGAAAAATGATTGGCGTTTATGCAAAGCCTTTAAAACACACCAAACATTCTATATTCAACAGTTTATAAAAGAGCTTGTAAAAGCCTACTGTTAATGTTCACTTGTTGAAGATCAAATTATAAACTGAGACTGTGACATAGAGGCTTTCTTAAAGCCACTTACAGATTTAGAAACATACGCTCACATTCTTGTAGACATAAAATACAAGGTTATATGTTTAGCAAGGATGCACAATATATGGTTCTCTAGATACTGATGACTTTTGTCAGTATTTGTACTGATAGAAGATAATATTTGTATCTCAGGGTTGACCTGTGGGTTCCTTGGTACTCTCTGGGCTTGGTTGTTTTCTTATCAAATTGTAACATCATCAGTACACTGATGATGTTACCAAGTATGGTAATGAAATATCTGCAAGAAAACAACCAAACTTAGAGACCTCCACAAACCTCACAATATTTGTTACTCTTGGCTATACAATTCCATCTTCACAAACGAAGGCATATACATGTCCCAGAATAATGTTGCAGGATCCAATCTGGGTCAGTCCCCAGGACCAGAAGTTTAGTCTTCCAAGCTTTCGGACTCATGCTGGAGCCCATCCTCAGGGATCTTCTCTTTCACCACTGTGTTGAGAGAGAACTTCCCTGAGGATGGGCTCCACCCCGACATCTCAGAAGACTAAAACTCTGGTCTCGGTGACCAACACAGATTGGATCCTGCAATTTTATCTTCATTGTGATTCATAATTTCTTCCAAGGATTTAACACTTGCCTATAAATAACACTTGTGTCAAATTATTTTTCTTTGACAAACATTTGTAGGATCTACGTAGAAATCAGAAGAGAATGGCAGAACTCAATGCTACTATTCGGAAACTTGAGGATAGGAACACTCTGCTTGTGGATGAACGTAATGAATTGGTATGGTCCCTTAGCAGTTTCTGAACATTTTATTTAAAATAGCAATGACAAAATCATAAATGATAAATAATGTTGCAGAGATGCATCGGTTTTGTTCATACTTGTTTTTCTTCTGTTCAATTATATCTGGTTCTCTGAATAGGTTTCTGAAATTTTCTTGGCAAGGTTTTTCAGAAGTGGTTTGGGCTGTGGAAGTGACTGACTCAAGGTCACCCAGCTGGCTTTGTTCCTGAGGTGGGACTAAAGTTCATGATCTCCTATGGGATCATTTCAGTGGAAGACGATTGAAGTTCTCTAGTTAGGATTGATGTTAATTGTCTGAATTGAGTTAGACTGAGAATGATTGATCTAAATTTACCCAGTAAATTTCTGTGGCCATAGATAGATGTGAACCTGGTTTAATCACTATAATAAGTTCATCATATTATAGATCTGACTGCTATCTTCCATGATTCATATTTTGTAGCACTGCTTGTTGTGTGAACCTGGGCAATTCTGACTTATTTCATAAATAATGGTTAGCTGAATGTGTAAAATCAGTCTCTGACAGATAACCCCTCTTCTTGGTTTCACATGATAAATTTTCCAGCACTAGATATTATACACATTTTAATAACAAAATACAACCAGAGCAAGGGAATAGCAACCATTCTTTCTCTTCTTAGAAGAATGAGGCATGACATGGTCTCTCATTCAATGTTATGAGCAGTAGGTAGGTTGATTTCTTATGTTAAATTTATTTTTGGCTATAGATACTTAAACAACATTTCAGGAAAATAAATGTAGGTAAGTTAGAAGTGGCATTTCTTGCCATAATGAACTCATCAACATTTTTAACTCTGATCAATCGTGTTTTGTAGATTCAAATGACATTATCATTATTTTAAGATCTGTAGATGGCATCTTTAAAAAAAGCAATGCTTGAAATTATATCCCTCAAACTGTGTTCTATTGATTTGATTCATATAACATTCTAAGCCATACTTTGTAGTTTGTTTTGAAGTTAGTGTGATATATGAATCAACATGATAACTTCTTGAAGAAATAATGTTTTCAATATTTCCATTCCAGAAACCAACCCCCCCCCCCACACACATATATATATATATCAGAGTGTACAGGTAGTCCTTGACTTACAACAGTCCACTGTCCACTTTCAAAGTTATAACAGCACTGGGGAAAAAAATGACTTACGACTATTTTTCACATTTATGACTGTTTCAGCATCTCCATGGTCACGTGATTTACAGTTGGATGTTTGACAGCTGACTCACATTTATGATGATTGAGTTATCCCAGAGTCATGTAATCACCTTTTGCAACCTTCTGACAAGCAAAGTCAATGCGGAAACCAGATTCACTTAACAACCCTGTTACTAATTTAACAACTGCAGTGATTCCCTTAACAAATGTGGCAAGTAAAGTTGTAAAATTGGGTATAACTCACTTAACAAATTTCTCACTTAGCAACCTATATTTTGGGCTCAATTGTGGTCGCAAGTTGAGGACTACCTATATATGAGTTAGGGGATGTGTGTACTATAGATATGTAATCTATAAATCTAGTTAATTAATTAGCATTTTGTTTGCAGTTGAAACGTGTTCGAGAAGCTGAAAAACAATGCAAACCTCTTCTGGAAAGAAATAAGTGCCTCTCTAAAAGAAATGATGAACTCATGCAGTCATTGCAACGCATGGAGGAGAAACTTAAAGCAATCACTAAGGAAAATTTAGAGATGGTTTGTACCAAGAATTCAGATTTATTCTGTTTTTTATTCTTTCTTTTGTTTTCAGTTCTTGGAATATAACTACTAAGGGAAATGCCATAATTCTATTTTGATAATAGACTTTTTTGATATCATAGCAGGGTATGAAGAGCTGAAAGGACTAACATCCAGACAATGTTATTTGGACTTTTTATGTTAAAAAAAATTATAACAAAGAAAAAAACAGAATGTATCATGCCCAACCAACATGGGGTGAAATATTTTTTCATTGGATTGGTGATTTTTTTTAAAAAAACATATTTTTCTTTATTTTAAACTGTAGCTTGTTTAAACTGGGGGTCTAGAAGACACAAAAAAATCCCCAATTTTTATTCCTGGGGTTGTCAGTGCCCCTCTTCAGTTTAACAAAATGGACATGAGCAAGAAGGAACTGCAGTGATGCTTAATTCAAAATTCAAAAATAATTGTGCTTGGATTCATTCTAATTATTCCCTTTATTCTCCAGAATGAACATTACAAAATGTTATTTTCTTGGAATCATTGCATTTTCTAGGAATTCAAGTCTATCTCCTAGATCACAATTTGTTGGATTTTTTTCCATTCCTGTTTTTTTCATGTTTTGAAAGCCATTTGCTATATGGCTTTATATGTTTATATGTAGGAATCAAACAGATGTAATAAATAATGGCCTGGATGATTTTACTAGAGAGCCAGGACACTATATCCTAATCATGTGTATTTAGAAGTCCCACTGAGTTCAATTTTGTCTATTTGTTAATAAATATACACATCCATAGTTGAATGCTCTGCTGAGTGTTTTTTCCATAAAGAGATGTGTATCTTCCCTTCTCTCAAAACAACAGTAATTTAAAAACATGCCATGAGGGGAAAAACAGCTCTAACATCTATAATTCAATATGTAAGACAGGTGGAAAATCAAATGTGAGAAATAATATAGTACGATGATCTAATCAAGTAAAAAAATTAAAAATCTAAAAAGAAAACTGGTTTTCCTATTTTATGTTTTTGTTGTGTAGAAAGAAAAAATGGTATCACATCCTCCTCTGAAGAAATTAAAATCGCTGAATGATCTTGATCAAGCAAATGAAGAACAAGAAACCGAATTTTTGAAGCTCCAGGTTATAGAACAACAAAACATAATTGATGAGCTGACAAGAGTAAGTTTATTAAGTCTTCATCAACTAAGAACAAAGAAACAGATCTTGTAAGATTGTATAATTTAAAAGAAATTGCATTATGACTAATATAGTTTAATATAGCATTTCCTGAACTAGAAGGTCCATAGATGTGTTGAATTCTATCAAGTCCAACTAATGTGAAATACAGCCCAGAATAGACAGGTCTGAGCTTGCAAGATTAGATGAATAAAAAAAATTAAAATCTGGTAAACTGCAAAGCAAAGTCAAGAAGTCAGCATCACCTCTATTTACAAGAATGGAGGAGACAGGGGTCCCCACATATGCCTTAAGGCATTCGCAGGAGATAATATGGAAGGTGGCAATAATACAGTACTTTATTCAGAAATGCAATCAGTTTCCCACAATTACAAGGTAAATGTATAGACCATTCTATACCTACTGCAGGAATTCAGATTAAAGCATAATTATGGATATCTATCTAGCTTATACATGAACCTATTGAATGAAATGGACCCCACCCTCATTCTAAATAATTGTTGTCATGTCAAATTGCTTTTGGTAGCAATATTGTTTAAAAACAAAAACTTGTACCAAATATCCTTTTGTAATTTAAACACTTTATTTCACGTTCTGTATTCTTGAAATAAGGGAGGGAGTGTTCTTTGTAAAATTCTTTTCTGACTTCCCATCCATTTTTAAATGGATAATATTGTAATCCTTACCTTTAAAATTGTCTTTGTCTTGTCTGCCTCTCATTGATCCCCTTTCATCTAATGATATTCATAAACCAAAGGGATGAACAGAAATTGGAAGTAGGCAGACACTGTATGAGGATTTAGTAATAAATCTCTCAGTAGATTTGCACTAGGTTAGCAAAAGTTCTTCCTTCCAGCATTAATAATGGCATTCAATGAAAAAGTCACTTTTTATCAACTGAAATGAAGAATGGCTCAGAGAAAACCAGGGGTGTGTTTGTGGATGAAACAAAAGTGAGTTTTGTTCAGTTACTAAAACAAATACTTGAGCAGTGATATATTCAGAAATCATTAACTGAAGTTGTATATAAATCATTATTCTTTCATTTGATGGATTTTTTGGTCTCTGGAAAAATATAGAATAGACTCTTCTAGGAACCTGACGTTGATCCCTTCTTGTCTAGAATTATTCCATACTTATCCTGTAAGAAAGATTTCCAAAGAAATTATATACTGCTACCTCTTTAATTTCTTCAAGAAGCTATTTTAAGAGCCCTTGGGAAAAACTTCCTGTTGCTTATTGCCATATTATAGCTAATAGAAAGGATGGGTTAGTGGAATAATCCCAACTCCTCCTCAACTGATTTGCCTCTATTTGTGTTCTATTTAGTTCATAAAATTCTCATTGAGCTGGAACTTGGAATGAATGAATAAATGAATGAATCACTCAAATGACTGAATGGTTCACTCTTATACGTCTATTTAATATCTTGACAATCACATGAAGTGCTAATACCTCAATATCAAGTATAATGCCTTGATAAGACCATACTTGGAATATTGCATCCAGGTTTTGGTCACCACAATATAAAAAGGATGTTGAGACTCTAAAAAGACTGCAGAGAAGAGCAACAAAGAAGAGGGGACTGGAGGATAAAACATATGAAGAAAGAGTGCAGGAACTGAGTATGTCTGTTTAGGGTGCAGTACTGCAGGCCACTTCAGCTGACTGTTATCTGCAGTTCAGCAGTTCAAATCTCACCGGCTCAAGGTTGACTCAGCCTTCCATCCTTCCGAGGTGGGTGAAATGAGGACCCAGACTGTGGGGGCGATATGCTGACTCAATTTGCTAAAAATCTGTAAACCGCTTAGAGAGGGCTGAAATCTCTATGAAGCGGTATATAAGTCTAATAAATAAATATGATAGCAGTGTTCAAAGCTAAGGGGCTGCCACAAAGAAGAGGGGATCAATCTATTCTCCAAAACACCTGAAGGCAGGACAAGAAACAATGAATGGAAACTTATCAAGGAGAGAACCAACCTAGAACTAAAGAGAAATTTCCTTACAGTTGGAACAATTAATCTGTGGAACAACTTGTCTCCAGAAGTTGTGGATGCTCCAACACTGGAAATTTTTAACAAAAGATTGAACAATTATTTATCTGAAATGGTATAGGGTTTCCTGTCTGAGTAGGGGGTTGGACTAGAAGACTTCCAAGGCCCTTCCAACTCTGTTATTCTGTTATCTTTGTATCCTGAGTGGTAACCATTTCTTGGTTTTCTTATCTAGGATAGAGAAAAACTTATTCGACGGAGGAAGCATAAAAGAAGTTCAAAGCCAATTAAGGTAAATGAGGTTTACAGATTATTTTGAACCCACTAATAACTTGTTTCCATGAAAATAAGACTTCCCGGATAATAAGCCCAATCAGGCTTTTGAGAGCATTTGCTAAAATAAGCCCCCACCTGAAAATAAGCCCTCTCCGAAAATATTGCAACACAGCAGTAGCCATGAGGTGACCATGCTTGCTGCCTCCTGCACCTCAAAAATAATAAGACCTCCCCGAAAATAAGGCCAAGTGCTTATTTGGGGGTCAAAAGAAAATAAGACCTTATTTTGGGGAAAACATGGTATGTTAAATTATATTTCATTTCCAATTCATGAAATTACTCTATTGCATGCCCATTTCTCCTTCTTTCCATAAAGAAGGAAAGATATTAGGGCTCATAGAAACCATAAATGAAAGAAAGAAAGCATTTGGTCAAGTAAACCCAGCTGTGCTTACTAGTGATGGAGGCATGACATCTAAACAAAAAGACTATCAGACTGTGGGACATCTGGTCCCGAACGGCTCAGACCACGAACAATTCGGGTGCCAACCGAAAAATCCACTAAATGTTTCACTCAGGTCACGAACACATCCTCGGGTGCAAAATAAACACAACAGCGGCAATTTTTCCTGACTGTACCATTTTGTGTGTGTGTGTGTGTGTGTGTACGTGTATGCACAGTCTTGCTTCTGGTCACAACCGAATTGGGTGCTGACCGAACTCCTAGAATGGATTACTGTTGGCACCTGAGGTCCCACTGTATGTGCAACTCATTGCCAATTTCTTGCTAACATCTGTGGTTCTGCAAACTGCAAAACTGCGTGTAGAGCATACTCATACAATATGTTTTCCACTTCTGTGATGTCTGATCTTTTATGTGGGAACAAAAACATCGTAGTATAAGAGTGATTTAAATTCTCATGGATCAGACTTCTTCATGACTCATTTTGGCAAGTTTTAAGTGCTGAAATCATCAGTACTTTGCTATCCAACCTGCTGATTAACCAATTCTGTCAGCTTGGTGAATGACTCATTTATTTCTTTGATGTTGCTAATTAACTTAGTCAGTCTGAATACACTAAAGCTATTTTTAAATCATTGAATTGTAATAGTGGGCTCCAAAAGATAGCAGCTATTTTCACAGCATTGCTTGTAAGACCTATAAATGATATTGTATAACCAAACAAACAACCTTAATGAGGAAGAAAATGGTCTTGGGGAAAAATATCCTTGTTTATTTGCATCTCAATTTCCTTCGGTTTCCTAGGTCAATTGTTAGACTTCAACCTGTCCAGAGCAAAGTCTATCCTATTGTACTCTGTAAAGGCCTTTTATACAGAACCTTTGGAGTTGTTTCTGCATTGTGACTGCCACAATTGGAAATGAGGAGTAGAAGGACAAACTATCCAGGGGTGATGTAGCTGTTTTTTCCTGCAGAGCCATTTGGCTAGTTTGCTGTCTTCAAATTCTAGGTTTTCATAACAAAATAGGGTTTTAAAAATCCAGATAACTACTACATTGTCACCCACATAAAGCATCTCCAATACCTGACTGAGTTCATAAGATGGAGTATTATCTGTGCTAGAAAGCTGGGCTGGTGGCAGAGTTAGAATGTTTTTTTTTACAGAGGCATGTTCTGGACACAGTTTATGGGGGTGATGATGATTCCATGGACTCCGAAACATCATCCATGGCTTCATTCAGGACAGACAGAACACCAGCAACACCAGATGAAGATCTAGATGAAGTAAGATTTTCTTCCCTATTTTTATAAAGTTTGAATAATTAGCAAATGTGTATCAACCCTTTCAAGTTCTTGTGCACCTGTATTTTTTAATGTCGTGTCCTTCAAAATCTCCATTTCAACCTCCTCCAATTCCTCTTTACTTTTTTTTTCTAGAAATTCCCTCAATTTCTGGACAGAATTCAGTCAAAAAACTTGGCTCTTTAGAAAAATATATCACATCTTCCAATTTGTCCCATCAAAATGGACGAGTGGACATTTGTTCCATCAAACTAGAATCTTATTTTGCTTTAATTTCTCAGTCAAAAATACTTTTTCTCTTAAGCAAAATTCTAATAGGGATTTCTTTAAAAACAGTTGCATATGCTATAAAACTTGGTCTTCTTCCTAACAGAGTGCATCAAAACATACCTTGGAACATTTCTTATTCTTTCAAAAAAAAAAATTATTCTCTATACTTTATCAATGTCTAACCTCTGTATCATCCTCAAACCCAGACAACATTTTCTCTAATATCTTCACCAGAATCATTCTGAGTTACTCCAAATCTCAAACAAATTTTCTTCACTCTTCCTGATAAAGCATAAATCACATGCTTAGCCCTCCAAAACCTCTTTTATTTAAATGGCTGTGAATTATGGTCATTCACAGCCCATAATGATTCACACACAGTCTGTGAAAAGTCCTACAGATGTCTGCCACAGTCTTTCAGGATAATGCTGATAAACGCCCAACTTTATCTCCCTTGAAAGGCTGCCAGAGACCTAATTGCCAATTAGTTTTGCAAGGCTAAATGGAGCACAGAGTCAAACGGAGCTTCTCAGCATTTGAACCAACCAGAATGAACAAAATTGCTTCCTGCAAAGGCTCACGTCTGTTTGCTCATCTTTTATGTCTTATGGGAGAGGCCAATCATCTTCAAGCCTTACTCCCGAGTCGCCCCTTTTGTCTTAACTGTTCTTGCCTTCTGGCAGCTCTGCGCATGCGCACACTGGGAACAGGCTCACACTGTTCTTCTGAGTCACTGATGTCAGACTCCAGAGACTCTGGAGGCAGCACATCACTCCAGATGGCCAGGGCCCCGTCTCTGCCTCCGACACAGAGCCCTCACCCGAGCCTTCCCCAGACTCCAGTAATGGCCTATGTTCCTCCCCAAGCTCCTCACTATCCAACTCGGCAGCCAGGTTGCCGCCAGACCACAACAACTCTCAAAATTCCAATAGAAACAGATTATCTAGTTCACTTTCCAACACTCTGTTCATAATAGAGTCTTGTTCTTCAAAACTTCCACTTTGCATTGATTTGTTTTATAAGTCCAGGCATTTGTTTTACAGTGCTTTCTGTCTTCTCAACTTCTTCTATCATCTCCTCTTCCATCTTTACAAATCTTTCATTTGTTCTTTTTTCAAAAGCTGTCAATTTAGCATCAGGTGATTCAGCGAACTTACTGGCCAGTTGCTCAAACGTTTTCTGAAGGAAATCTGGTGTAATCCCTCTCTCTGCAGTTTGCTCCAGCAAGTCTCCTCTCTATTTTTGCCACTTTTCTGGTGGTTACCATTATAAATTATAATTAAAGAGAAAAGGAAATCCACTTCTTTGTTTTCTTTTTCTATTTTGTGTTTCTGTGCCTTTATTACTTTCAGCTCAAATGGAACTGCATAATTACATTAAGCATCCTATTCTGGCTCAAATTACTTTTCCTTTGTTTTATGAAATCCACCAAGTGTCAGCACTATTTAATAATACCCCAAAAACATTCCACAAAGGATCTAGTTCGTTTGTCAATTTAATTCCAATTAATTCAAAAGCACTTTACCAAAAACAATCTTTCAAAATAATTATCCTTCATGTATACATTTATATTCACTCCCTCTTAAGCTTTCTGCAACTAGTCTTTAAGTCTTTAAAACCTTTTTTAAAACCATTCCAGAAGAAATGACTCAGCCAGGATTATTTTTTATCCTGCCACTCAGAAAATCTCTCTTTAGCTGTAAATTAGTTACATATGAAAGTGTTTAAGAAATTAGGCTGGCGCAAACCTTATGTTCATATAGGCTGCGTTATAGCTGTCAGCTTAATTAAAATTCCACAACTCCCAGCCTCGCAATTCGGAAGTTGATCTCAAAAATCTTAGTCCCTGCAGTCTACTTACGAGGTAAGTAGGTACAAGTAGGTATTCTGCGTGCAAGTGGCATGATCTCATGATCTCTCCTTTATGGGTGAAACTGCGTCAGCCAGAATTCATGTCTGGCTGCTGATCTCTTCTTCAGTGTCTTCCCTGCTCCTTGATAGTTCACCATGGCTCTTCACTGGAAGCTCTCTATAAATGGTTTCTTAACCTGTGTATTCCAGAATACAATATTTTGTTTTCTAACATAATAAATTCCAATGCTATTTTGATACAATCTATTATTACACACTCCATCTTTTTTACAATACTGCACTTAATGTTTGTGTGAAACTTTCTCTTTTTCAGAGCTTAGCAGCTGAAGAATCAGAGTTGCGATTTAGACAATTAACAAAAGAATATCAGGCCCTGCAGAGAGCCTATGCGTTACTGCAAGAGCAAACTGGGGGTATAATAGATGCAGAAAGAGAAGCCAAGGTTGGTATCTGCCAAGGTCAACATAGCTGTCACCCAAATACATTCCGTAAAGATGTATGTGTATCTATCCGCCTCTCTATATTATTTCTAATTCGTTCAAACAGCCTATAGCAAAACTACAAAAATTTCCATGCAATCGGATAACAATAACAGACAAATCACTTTAAAGTAATAGAAATTAAAACATGCTAAGAACTTTGTCACAGAAAAGATGCTACTTAAAAAACACAGAGTAGAATGTAACAGGGTCTCAAAACTCAAAGTATTGTGAGAGTTACAAAAGGACTGTTTCATTACCACAAAGTAGCAATATGGCTGCTTGCCAGAGGAAAAGAAGGAATTGCAAATGAATTAAAGATAATTTAAAACTCAGAAAGTTTGATGACATTTAAAAATATGAATAATGAAACTACTTTTTTTTTAAACAGGCACAGGAGCAACTCCAAGCTGAAGTCCAGAGATATAGAGCAAAAATAGAAGATCTTGAAAAAACATTGGCCCAGAAAGGACAGGTAGACATTTTACAAAATATGGTTTGTCTCAATTACTTTTGAAGTTATTAGAATCAGTTTGTTATCGAGGAAAGGTACATTTTGCACATATGAAAGAATGCCTGTAAACAACTGGGAATAAATATATAAAAGTATCTTGCTGTATGAGCATAACTGTATATTATAGATGTCTACAGCTACTTTGATGCTTCCAATAATACCCAATAACAATTGTTTCCATTAATTTAGCAAAAATTATTGAATTGTTTTACCATTTCTTTTTCATTGTGACAGAAGTTTTAATCATAGTTGTCAACATGATTCAATCGATTGAGCCATAGTTCAGTTATTTAGTGGACTTAATTTTATTCATGGTAATTTAAATTCATTTAATTTAATAAAACCAATTAACAAAGCCATATATAAATATCTCTTTATATTTTATTCTTTTTTAAAAAATAGGACTCACACTGGGTAGAAGATAAACAACTTTTTATTAAGAGGAATCAAGAGCTTTTGGATAAGGTATGTTCATGCTTGAATGATTAGAAAGGGGTTGCTAGTCTTTCGTGTTGGGGAGCATATTTGGAATTCTCAGAACACCTTGTGGGTATCCTCACAAAACAGCAAAAAAAAAATTTCTAAGTGTGCTTTACAGAGTCGGTATATTGCCCCCCAACAATCTGGGTCCTCATTTCACTGACCTCGGAAGGGTGGAAGACTGAGTCAATTTGAGCTTGGTGAGATATGAATTGTCAAATTGCAGGCAGCCAGCCTGAAGTACTGCATTCTAATCTCTGTGCCACCACAGCTCTTAGCACTTAGGAATAGACTTATATGCAACTTCAAGTGCTTCACGTCCCTCTCTAAGTGGTTTACACATTGACTCCAATAATCTGGATTCTTATTTTACTGACCTCAGAAGGATGGAAGGCTGAGTCAACTTTGAGCTGGTCAGAATCAAACTCCAGACTGTGGGCAGAGTTAGCCTGCACTACTACATTCTAACCACTGTGCCACCAGGGTTCCTACAAGGTGACTACAAAGTGATGTTTTCCCCCTTCATTTCCCAGAATGGTTTCTACTCTTTAGCTTAATTTGTCTTCTTTCTGGAAGGTGGCCTACTTCCAAACAAAGCACTGGGTACATTCACCCAAAAATTCATTTTTGAATAATATTTCTAAGGCTGAGGCCCAGAAACAATTGAAATTATTGTGCTTAAGGCAAGCGCTTTGGTTTGCAACAAGTCAACTTCCCTTTTCTTTTAACTGAAATAATTTGGGAGGGGGGCAAGAATTTTTCCAGGCACTGAGAAGGATAATGCTAGACACTTTGTACTGACAGATATGATACTGTGAGTTCAGAGTGGTGTTTAGAACTGAACTTTCTGTACATCATTTAATTTCTGCACCTTACTTTGCCCCAGAATCAATTCAACATTCTGACTCCATATTAAGACTCCACTAGTTCCCTTATAATTTCACTAAGTGATGACATATGCACTGGATTAGATTTAGTCGTTTTTAGATTAATCTATTGAAACCCCTTAGTCATGGCTAACTTATCCCATTTTATTTTATAAGATCTGTTCTAGGCAACAGTCCATTAATTACTAAATTCAAGAGTTGAAGAAATAATAAGTTCTAAATAATAATTTGGATTTTTATTGCACCATCAGATCATATGATTGAAAGTACTTTTTGTATTTTTGCATAAGAGTCCTTCAGACTGCTCATTTTTCTCAATGATAATCTTTATAATATAAAAATAAATATAATAATGTAAAATTCAAAAATGAAGGTGCAGAATCATGAAAAATAATACGCAAAATTATCCTTTGAAAGTTTACTGTCTTAACCACAAGTAAACAATGAAATCCCAAAGTTCTGAATCAGCAAATATGAATCCTTTTGTTATTTGCCAAGTTGCTTTTGATGTATTATTTCCATAATAAGATAATTATTCCTTTAGTATATGGATTATGACTTTTGTAGATGTTATACTTCCCACAAAAAAAACCTCATAATTATATTAAAATAACTGATTAGCTTGCTTCCTTGGTGACTGAGACTTGTAGGAGGGAGCAAAAACGTCAGTGGTCATAAATGTCTAAAGTACGTCTTGGAATCATTTCCACAAATTATATATTTAGATCTTTTTCTAGATAGAAAAATTGGAAGTAGAGAACAATCGACTGCAACAGGAGCTGCAGGATGCCAGAGATCAGAATGAACTCTTGGAATTTCGAAATCTAGAACTTGAGGTAAGAACTTGCTAATTGTATTATGCGGGACTAGGGAACATTTTAAAGGAGGAAATATTCTTGCAATCATCTGTTATTCCAAATATTTTCCTTCATATAAATTAACCTGCCCTCCATGTTTGATTGCATTTTATATTTACAAATTAAGCTAATTTCTTATTTTTAAAAAAACAAAAAGAGATTCAGTTATACTAAAGGATAAGAAAACTGAAACTAGCTTGCATAATCTTTATCTTTTTGGCTGGAGGAATTTAGAGTAGGTCATAGGCACTTGGGTCTCAAAACCTAGTGTGATAAGCCATGTTGTATAGTTAGGCTGTTGAGCTCCAAGCTTGGCAATTTGATTGCAAACGTTTTGTCACCATTCGAGGAGACATCATCAGTACATTTTGAGTTGTGCTTGTCTGTCAGAACATAGGTCTTTAAATACCTTTTTGTGTGATGTCTGAATGTTGTTTGTTCAGATATTTCTGAGTCATGCTTTGATTTTGGACCGTTTGATTGGCTGGCTGTTGTTGCTGAGCTATGGTTAAGTATAATATATACTTTGGAACTCAAACCAACAGCCTAACTACCAACCTGAGCTACTAGTATTCAAACACATTTCAATGTTGTATAGTGCTTAAAATATTGGATTAGACTAGAAACACTCAAGTTCAATTTACCCTTAGACATGGAGAAACAATGGGTAATTTTGACAATCACAGTTTTTTAATCCAAATTAATTTGGATGATTATTTAGAAATAAAAGGAGTACTATTAGGCTATCTTAAATTTTTGGAGTCAGGGAATGGGGATGGGATACATACAGATTTAATAAATTATGCAAGTCTATTCAGTTATATATAGTAATGTGCAGAACATGGGAAAAAATTTCCAGGGTGAGAAATAAATAGCTCCACCTTGGAACCAAAAGTATTTCAAATGTTCTGCCATGGGACAATGGGAATTGAAAAAGATTGATCACTCAGAGGCAAACCTATCTCCCATTCTGAATGTAAAGAAAGACAACCCAACCAGGGGCATGCCAACGCTTAAAGGAACATGGAATGAAGTCCCCTAGTTTATTCTGAGCTCAGAATAAAACCTCAAAAAAAATAGAGATACAGAATGTTTTATTTTGAGAAAAAAAATCTAAAACAACCAGGTCAAGCTCAGAAACCTCGAAAGGTTTAAAGAACTGTAACAGTGAGAATAGAGATAGCCAATTTCAAAACAACATTCTTTTCAGAGATAAGTGTAACTATAAAGTGCAACTTGTCCTAATCCCTAAGTATGGCAGAAATTTAGTCAAAAGAATATTCTTTCTGAATCAGCTAGGTTTTGCTCCAAAAGCAAAATACTTTTCAGGGGAATAAATCAAACAAACAGAAAGTAATAAATGTTTTACCTTATCTTTTGTTTCAAGGAAAGAGAAAGAAGATCTCCACCTTTTAATCTGCAAATCCATCCATTCTCTGATGGTGTAAGCGCTCTACAAATCTACTGTATGAAAGAAGGTGTCAAGGTATGTTAACATGATATCACTAAAAATAAATATGTTTTTTTAGTATGTGACATCATATATCTTGGTAGTTTTCAAAATATGGATATATATATATGTGTGTGTGTGTGTGTGTGTGTGTGTGTGTGTTTTATTTGTGCTGATAAATAAATAAAGGGAGACTAGTATAGATCTATTTCAAGCTATTTAGCTCTCATCAGCTAGCCTTACCCTTACTGGGATTCGAACCTGTGCTGTATTGCATCTTAGGCAAACTTCTTAGCCATTATGCCATAGGTCTCCTCCTTATCAGCTGAAGCCAGGGAAGAAGGTATATATTTAGTGTCACAACCCCTGGTAAGCCCCAATTATGGGAGGAAGCTAACTGCTTCCATCATCTGTCAATAGGCTCGTCACAAGAGTCCATCACGACAGAAACATGATATCACTAAAAATAAATATGTTTTTTTAGTATGTGACATCATATATCTTGGTAGTTTTCAAAATATGGATATACATACACACACACACACATACACACAATTTACAATTTGCAACTCAAGTTAAAAATTAAATTCCATGCATAGAAGACTCTTAAAAGTACAGAAAATGGGCATGTTGTGATCCTTCTTCTATTGTACACTGAAGAGCAGGTTATGTTTTTGTTAACGAAGAATATAGAGCCTATAATTTTGAACACTCTACATTTGTTGCTGACAGATTTACTGTACATAATCCATTCTTGATTCATTGTGTATGTGCAAGAATTCAAAGCAGCTTAAGAATTTACACCTACTGATATTGTACTCTGTGCATTGTTGAATTCAAAAGGTCTTCTAAGCAAATCTATAAAATCTATTGTAGTGTTGGTGTCTTTCATAGAAAATGGAAGTATGTAACGTTCCTTGAAGTAAAAGTGGCAATAGAGAATACAGAGCCACGGTACAATTCCGATAACATTCTAGATTAGGCGACCATTGTCTACTCTCAATTACAGGAAAAGATTTTATACCAGTCAGAGTTGAAAATTTGATTACCAACAAATATATAGTGTAGTCTGCATGTTAGATGATATGAGTAAGTTAGATGCTTTTGTACAAGTGTTAAAGTTGTAAAGAAATGTTTAAGAATCAGTCTAGCTATTTTGTCTTCCCCCTCAATATTAGATTTTCTATACACTAGGTCTATCACACAAACAATTACTTCTTTGTTTCTTTTTTTTTGCTATTACCCCGTGTAGATGGCTGAACATTAAAGTCTTCTCCACCCCTTTCCATGATGCTTTGGGACCTTTTTTGCTCCTTCACTTAAGAAATACTAAGTCATTTGTAGATCATCAAATCCATATCATAAAATAGATACTGCTTATGAAAACCTTTGGTTCTTCTTTTCTGAATTTTATCTTCTCTTTTATAGGATGTTAGCATTCCAGACCTTATAAAGCAGTTAGACATCTTGGGTGACAATGGGGTAAGTGATATGGATAGCTAACAAGGTGTATATAGCACTTTCTAGAAAATGTGTAGTATTGCAGAATAAAAGATAAATAAAAATAATTGAATTTCATTCACTCCATTATTCCCTATTTTTATAAATAAAGAGCTTGTCCTGTTTGAATTATTTCTTAATAAGCTACTAAGATAGTATTCTGTAGCATTTGTGAAACCTTTAAAATAAAATAAAAAACCTGCAGGAGTCAGACTAGAATAGACTAGAATCAACTTTCCCAATCTACTATTTACACATATATCTAGAAGACACTAAGTTGAGAAAGACTACGCTCAATTCCTATGAATGTTGTTCTAATTTTTTTTCTAGAAGATCACACATATTAGCATTTTATACAGATGAGATTTTATTTAGGAAGTCAAATTACTTGGGATGTTACTTTTAGATTACTTTTTTCCTGACGCTCAAACATTTATGATTGGTTTATGATTTTACACATTCCTGACTTTGTGGTAAAATATATATGCAAATACTACACCCACAGCTTTTCCATTTATTTGGATGGAAAATATTTTCTCAGCTCTTGATATACAAAGAGCTATTTCTTCTATTTAAGCAGTACCTCCACTGTGATAGATATTTATATTTTTGAAATAAACATCAGCAACTTTGGGTTACAAGGGCTGCAGGAATAATTTCAAAACCATAACAGTGAGAGTTTTGACTTGAGTTTTCTCTCTTTATGCTTTTTATTTTTTTACAATTAATCTTTTTTAAGTGTTATATACGTTCAAAACTTAATGGACCTATTCTGTGGTTTAACTCCATACCAAAAAGCAGCAGAAAATCTCAATTATTTTTCAGAGAGTCAAAAATAAAAATTTGCAATTGTTCATTGGTTGCTGGTTAGGAATTCCTGTCTAAATAAATGTGGAAGACTAGGAATTTTGCAGTGTATCAAAATCCCTGCATCAAGAAAAGATGCACCAGAGCAAAACTTTTTGACGTTGACCAGATGTCTGCATGGAAAACTATTGCTGCTTTCTTAATTTGATTTTCTGCCTCTTGAATTTTCAGAATTTGAGAAATGAAGAACAAGTGGCTATAATTCAAGCCAGTACTGTCTTATCTCTGGCAGAAAAGGTATTTTTAAATGTATTTTGTGTCTCGTGTATATTATTTCATATGAATCAAAAAGTTAACACAGGGTACAGAATTATGAAGAGAAAAATGCAAACTGTGGGGAAAATATGCAATCTGCATGTGTGGTGTGAACAAATAAGAATGAAATGTTATCTAAACTGCATCTATCTCCAAAAGCAAAAAGTAACTGGGTTTTATTGTTCAAGTTGAACTTCCACTAAGGCAACCATTTTAATTTGCTTTATTTAACTTTTTCCAATTGTCCAAGTCCCAGCTTGCTTTAGCCTGTTTGCTGCAGTCCATGTTCATGAAATCAACATTTAAGTATACAGATAAATATCTAGATATAAGAATGGCTTGATTAGAGAAGCCTTATTATAGAATAAGACAGCAATTAATGATACACTTTAGGTATGCCAGCCAGCTGGGTTTTTCTTTTAAGTGGGAGAATTATGAAAAATAGCATACTATTATGCATGCTGTAGTAATGTACACTAACTAGGTCAATCTGTACTTTAAATACAGGACAGATGTCTCTGAAGCCTATGGTTCCAAGTTTGCACATGTTTTAATAATAATACAAACCAGTCAGCATTCAGTAGTACAGCAGCACACAACAAAATAGATATTTTGGAAAGACAAAAATATCCACAAGAACGAATAAATGTATACCGTTAGCCCAAGACTTGCCAAGACTTTGCTTAGAAAATATTTTCAGGCCTAAGACCTAAAAGGTAGTAACCATACGTCTCTGATCATGTACAGGATATTCCACAACTGTAACTAGCTACCATATAATCTGGAGATAGCAATAGCACTTATATACCGCTTATATACCACTTTACAGTGCTTTACAGCCCTTTCTAAGAGGTTTTTACAAAGTCAGCATATTGCCCCCAACAATCTGGGTCCTCATTTTACCCACCTCAGAAGGATGGAATGCTGAGCCAATCTTGAGCCTGGTGAGATTCGATCTGCCAAATTGCAGGCAGCTGGCAGGCAGCAGAAACAGCCTGCAGTACTGCACTCTAACCACTGTGTCACCATGGCCCTATGTGTCAATTCCAGGTCAGAGGATGTAGCCAGGTTTCATTTCTCTTGTTCCTTGATGATTTGTTGTTAGTTGCAAAGTCATGTCCGACCCATCACGACCCCATGGACAACGTTCTTCTAGGCTTTTCTGTCTTCTGGTGGGGTTTTCATGGCAAAGATACTGGAGTGGGTTGACATTTCCTTCTCCAGTGGATCACGTTCTGTCAGAGCTCTCTGCTATGACCTATCCATCTTGGGTGGCCCTGTACGGCATAGCTCATAGCTTCGTTGAGCTATGCAAGCCCCTTCACCATGACAAGGCAGTAATCCATGAAGGGGGTATCCTTGATGATTAGCTGATAGCAAGTGGCTAGAAGCAACTAGAAACAACTGCAGTGAAAATTCTAAGCTCTGAGTTTATAGTTGATGAAATGGAAAGACAGCACTTTGGGCAATATTATAATCCTGAAAGTGGAACTGGAAAGTGTACTTAATAATTCCTTCCCCCTCCCCCCCTCTTCTAGTGGATACAGCAGATTGAGGGGGCTGAAGCAGCTCTGCACCAGAAGATGATGGAATTGGAAAGTGACATGGTAGGAAATAAAACTTTTGGGGGTGGGGGCAGTTTTCAATTTATCCCATGCTTATTGTTAGTTGTCTGCTGGAATTCGCTTTGTTTTTGTCTGAGTATCATTACAGGTAGTCCTCAAGTTACAACTATTTGTTTAGCAACCATTTGGAGTTACAATGGCACTGAAATAAGTGACTTATGACTGTTTTTCACGTTTACAAGCATTGCAGCATCCCCGTGGTCATGTGATCGAAATTTGGGCACTGGGCAACTGGCATATATTTTTGGCAGTTGCACTGTCCCTGGGTCATGTGATCACCGTGTGTAACCTTCCCAGCCGGATTCTAACAAGTAGAGTCAATGGGGGAAGCCAGATTCACTTAATGACTATTGATTCAGTTAACAGCTGCAGTGAATCACTTAAGAATTGTGGCAAAAATAGTCGTAAAATGGGGCAAAACTCACTTAATAACTGCCTTGCTTAGCAATGGAAATTTGGGCTCAGTTGCGGTCATAAATCAAGGATAATCTGTATATATTTTCTTATTTCAAGAATAATAAAGGTAGTGATTCTTTTTTCCAAACTATCATTCCATGTAGGAGCAGTTCTGTAAAATAAAAGGTTATCTGGAAGAAGAACTGGACTACAGGAAACAAGCTCTTGATCAAGCCTATATGGTAATTTGAAAGCCAAGGATGGAAACAAAAGTACATTTCAGAATGCAAGGTTGTTGCATTCCACTGATAAATACATGGGCTTGCACTATGTTCTCACATAAGTTTGGTTAAAGTAAACTCCAAATTAATGTCATTTTTAGATGACAGAGAGGGAGAGAGACATACGGTGAAGAAGGTAGCTTCACACTTGGAAGGTTGATAGTTCAATCCTAGTGGTAAACATCTACTAGTAGATGTTTCTCTATCAGGGCACAAGGAGAAAAAATATGCTGTGAACTACATGTAGGTGTCAGGAAGTGCATCCGGCCAGTAAATGCTCAGCTTTATCCAGTCACCCTGATCCCATCTCGATAGAAGGCATTACAGGGTCATAAAAAGAAAGAGAGATAGACAGAGAGATAGAACTTTCTATGAAATAATGTGTCAGTCTACTTTTTTGTTCTCCTTACATAAGTGAGAGCTCCAGTGAATATCTGTATTCCAAAGGGATAGCACATAACATGTTAACCTCAAAAGGGTGGTGCACTGTCCACACAGAGGTTTATTTGCCATTAGAATGCATCAGTGGTGGGTTCCGGATTCCGTTCCAACCGGTACAGTTGGAATGGCCCTGGAGTCACCCACATGCAAGTGCATGGCACGCGCATGCATTGTAGCATCAAATGACACTTCCACAAGCCTCCGCAACATCCCAGCTGCTCCGTGGAGTGTTGCGCAGGTGCCGTACATGCCATGCACAGGCGTGGAAGGGCCAAAAGTTAAAACCACAGGTAAGGAGCATGGGCGGGAGGGTGGGCCCTCCGGAGCACCGTACCGTAACAGTACCCAGTGCTCAGGGCAGGATCCGGTACGCCTGTACCGGGGCGTACCACCTACATTCCACCACTGGAATGCATGGGAAAAACTATGGTAAGTCCTGAAAAGGAGGGAGTAAAAAACAGTTTACTTTCAGGTGTCATATGGAGCTATTAGTAATCATCAGATTTGAGGCATTGAATGTAGTGTGCTGCGTTTGAGAGAAATACATAGTATACCGTATTTTTCGGAGTATAAAATGCACCAGAGTATAAGACGCACCAAGGTTTTAAAGAGGTAAATTAAAAAAGTTTTTGCACTCTGCAAACCTCCCAAAAATGGCCCGTTTTTCACAAAAACAGGCCCATTTTTTTTTAAAAAAAGGGCATAAATAGCCTTTAGGAGGCTTGTAGTGTGCTCCTGGGGAGGATGAACAAAAAACAAGCCATTTTTCGCAAAACAAAGAGGGTTTGTTTTTTCCAAAAAAAAGGGCATGGATAGCTTAAGGGGGCTTATGGAGTGTTCCTGGGGTTGGGGGAGAATTGAGCAAAAAACAGTCCGTTTTTTTATCATTTCTGCCCTCCCCAGCCCCCGGGAGCTCTCTGAAAGCCTCCTAAAAGCTATGCATAGCCATTTTGGTGAAGGGGCGGGGTTTCAGGAGGCAAAAAAAATCTGTATTCAGTGTATAAGACGCATCCAAATTTTCAGTCTCTTTTTTGAGGGAAAAAGGTGCATCTTATACTACGAAAAATATGGTAGTTATTGTCTATTAATTCCAGTTGGTTCTGCTGAGTTAAAATATGTACAGAGATAAATAGTTTTGACCAGACTGTATCCCCTTCTAATATTTTGTTATGCTATTGCTTAGAGAATCCAAGAGCTTGAGGCTACCCTTTACAATGCTTTGCAACAAGAAACGGTGATAAAGTTTGGAGAATTGCTGAGTGAAAAGCAGCAGGAAGAACTTCGAACTGCTGTAGAGAAACTGCGAAGGCAAATGCTGAGGAAAAGCAGAGAATATGACTGTCAGATCCTCCAAGAGAGAATGGAATTGCTTCAACAGGCACATCAGGTGTGGTTCAGTGTATAGAAAAACATTAGGGAGGTTCAGTTTTTATATAGGTTTCATGGTATTTATTGTTGAGATAAAAATGTGAGAGAAATGATTAAATAATTATTAAAGATTGCTGATCATATTAGAGAGCAATCCAGGGGTGGTTTTTCACTTATCTTCCCTACCAGTTCACAAATGTGAGTGCATGCCACCTCCACATGAACCCAGCCTTTCACGCATGTGCTTTTGGCTAAAAAAGGGCCAACATGGGATGCTGTAGAGGCGGGTTGGGTGGGCAGTGCCACGCGCTATTTCTGCTACTGGTTCAGGTGAACCGGTAGAATACCACCTCTGGAGCAATCACCATATAAATATAAATTTTAATCAAATTAAAATTGTTAGTTTTTATCAGGCCACATTCCCTCCATGTTAAAGTGTAATCCCTTCACTTCATTATGAAACCAAGTTAGTCCCTCAACCTGGAAAAGGCTAAAACCCATGCAATTAGAGTGATACTTTTCATATGTATGAATTTTAGTTTAGAAAATTTAAATTAATTTTCTTTGGACAGACTCCATAAGACATCATTTTTTTATTTATTTGATTATTTATGGATATATTCAATTTGTTTCTAGAGGATCCGAGATTTAGAAGATAAAACAGACATCCAGAAGAGACAGATAAAGGATTTGGAAGAAAAGGTTGGTTGTTTTACATATCTAAAAAATAATAATAATAATACTTTTAAGAATTTTCTATTTTATAACTCTAGGAGCTCCAACTAGTTATTTTAGCATAACCATTTCCTAGTTAACTTCCCTTGAATCAGACTTTTACTTTTCAGTTCCAGTAATTTCCATTGTCATATTTTGCTAGCTGTGGGTTATAAGGGAAATAACTGGAAAGGATCTGGTTGGAAAATGCTATATTACTATAGTACTATGAATAAACTCCAGTGATTTTTATTTTCTTCTTAGGTATTTTAATCCAGGAGGGTTTTGTATGTAGTTTGATGGATGGATGGATGGATGGATGGATGGATGGATGGATGGATGGGGTGGATGGATGGATGGGATGGATGGATGGGATGGATGGATGGATGGATGGATGGATGGATGGACAGACAGACAGATTTCATTCTATTAGAACAAGGAAAAACTTTCCCTTCACCAATACCACACCACCATTTTCAGAGATATTATGGGGACCTTTTGATGAAGTTTGGAAGAACACAACCAGGGCAAATTATATGCTAGCCAGAAAGAGTTTTCAATGTGACTGCTGTATGTCATTTTTCTTCTAATGATACAAGGATCACTATCTAATCTCTCTCCTCATTCAGATTTCCTTTAGAATCATACTGTAATAAGAAAATAACAGAAATCACATTTTACCCATTATTCTACCATTATATCAATTTGAACATGGTAAGAATAATCAGCTTAAAATAGTTATTATTATGCTATAGTGGCACTATAGTCTTTTATCAATCTGCCCTTTTATTTAACAGACTGTTTTCTGTTTTCCTAAGTTAGAATCAGTCAATAAATGCAGAGGATTTTAGCTAACTAATATTTTATCTTAGTTTAAAACAAAAATCAAAATAGTTCATTTATAGTTTATTTATATCATAATGGATATTGTTTCAAGGAGAAGACTAAACACTTGTCCATAGTGATTAAACATGAAAAGCTGTTGTTTTTTGTGTTGTAACACAAAAGCTTACTCATGATGCTATCATTTTGCTAGGTTTTCTTGTTAAACAAGTTTGGCTGTAAAATGTAAATAATTTGTCTTAATTAGTAATGTAATCAAAAAGGGAGTTTCAATGAAATCTAGGAAATAGAAATTTAATGACAAGGATCAACGTTAAGGAGATTAGCTAGTAAGTTAGAAGCCTTACATTTTAGTGCTGTATGATTTCTTGGACTAAGTCTAACTCATGTCAAACTCATGTCATCACAGCGGTTTCACATGAGGTATCGAGACTTTTTCCCCCTTCACTAAACTGGATGTGGGCATGGCCAGTGCATGACACATCCAGCCTATAGGCTGGAAATTTGACAGCCCTGGTCTATTGGATTTTATTCATTTCAAATTATTTGCCGTATCTATGATAATAAAAACCTCTTAAAACTATTTTTTCTTGCAGTTTCTGTTTCTCTTCTTGTTCTTCTCCCTTGCCTTTATTCTTTGGCCTTGATGTCAATGTGCCTCTTGAAAGGTAAGGCTGATTCTTTCTTTCTTTTTTGACACCAAAATACTCTTTTTCAATTCAGTTCCAAAGAAGCATAGTTATTACGTGAATATATGAACTCACATCAGAGATGGCAATGGAAGGATAAATTGAGCAACTGTCAAATATTTTACAAAGTTCTATTACTTTTTACATGTTACACAGAGAGCAAAAGTTCTGTAAAAGCTATCAAAGCAAATTTCAGCTTCCTATTAAGTAACATTCAGCTATGTGTTTATTAAGTAAAATTCAGGTGTGTGTTATGTGTACACATAAGACTTTTAAATATATACCTAAAATTCTAAAGCATCATTTATTTTAAATATAATACATAATGGAATGTTTTCTTTCTCAGTGAAATGTCTGTCTGAATGTGTATGTATTTGGTGTGGGTATGTATATGTATATACATTATTATTTTTCCTCACAGCAGTTATTTGTAAGTTAGATTTTCAAATACAAAACTGTATTTTTTTTTGTCATTTTCCAGAATGATCACCAACACAGAAAAGTCCTGAGAGGGCAGATGCTTCCAAACCCACAAAAAAAAAATATCACCACTGTTTACAACTACTTTAAAACAAAGCAACTCTCTGCAATCAAGACCACTCCCACCATGCAGTTTAAAGCCATTATTCAAAATTTGTTACTTGACAGTTCCTGTCTGAAGCTACAATATCAGCTGCACTTAAGGAAATTCTGTGAGGAGGAAGAGTATATCCCAGCAACATACATCACTAGGTTTATTTTTAAAAAAAATCAGCAAGAAGCCACATTCAGCAGATTGAGTAAAAGTATGTCAGGCAAGGAACCAAAGTGACTACAGACTATCAATCCCTGCTGTGCAGGGGGATTATTTTAAACAAAAAACATCAACTTATCATGAAAGTCTTCAATAATTGAGGGGACAAAGTATTTAGAGTTCTAAGAGGACCATTACGATAATATCCATTTGGAGAAAAAAAAAATTGGCTTTCTTAATACAGGGACACTTTTTTTCTGTTTTTAAACTCAGGAACAATGACAGCTGCAATGTGAACAAAAGACTCTTGTTTTTGTTTCAAACTGGGTGAGACAACAGGATAGATATAATTGACATTAACCTACTGCTGCCTGCTGGATCAAGGATGATCAGGCCTAGTGAGAGTGACTGACGGTGCTTGTGAGGACCAATGCTGTAGTCTTATGAAAACCGTCCATGAAGAACTGTGTGCTAGAAATGTATGTTACGTCAAACGAAGAACTCTTCCAAGAATGCCACACTAATTAAACTAGCTGCTTAATATCTATTCAGGAACTGGGATAGAAGGGTAAGAAACAATGGCATCTGAGAAGAAGCGAACACCTTTAGTGAGACTTCAGCTTCACAAAATTTCGTCCTTGACTTCATTCAGCAGTTAATGTACTAGCGAAATAAGCATTTTGTTTTCCCTCATTGTGTTTGTTTTCTTCACTGGCTGCAAGAATCATAATGAGGGCTAATCTCTTGATTAGCAAGCCTGCACAGTAAAAATGCAAATTTATTTTGTGAGAATAGGTCTGAAATTAGCATTAAGGTCCACCTGAATGCAGCCATTCTTTTCTAGGTGACAAGGTGTTACATTCAATTTTGATGGTTTTCTTTGTGGAAGTATCTCTTGGTCATGCAAATGCTCATCTGAAATCACTGGCTTGTATTTGGGGGAGGGGGGAATCCCATTTACTAGTCCCATGCATAATGGGGTCACTGCACTTAAGGCAGCAGGAGAGCTTAGTGGAGATTAGTATCCTAAAAATACTGCTCCTAAAAATCCTCACTGCCCAATTTTTCAATTTGTACTCTCCTCTTAGGCTACCACATCTGGGCTGTAAAAATCCAAATGACCAATCAAATGGCAACAAAGAGTCTTCTGCATTTCTTTGCTTGGATTTTTTTTTAATCTACAGCACAGATATGGTAGATTTGTTTATTCCCCCTATAGATAACAAGGGTTGGACGGTCACCCATGAACCGGCATAATTTAATTACATTTAAAAATAAAAGAATCTTACTTTTCTTCTGGATATTTGTTCCTGAACTCTCATCAATAATAACAGCACCTATCTTTAAAGATGTACTTTATGTGCTGCTTAGCACTCAAAATCAGTCTGAAGTCATCTAGCAAAATCTCTTCCAATCTGAGATTGGAATGCCTAAATCTTTGAGCATCTACTGCTTGGTCACCATCATGCCTGATTTGATAATCCAAACACATTACTTAGCCTTATATTTACCCATACCTGGCCTCATATCTGCTCTTTAAAAATCCATCTGTTCCTAGCACTTGCTTGGGGTCACAGGTAGTTTGGTGTGCTTTGCCTCTGAGTAATCATTAGAGGGTCAGGCAAACCTTGGAAATATTTATCTATGGGACCCTTTCAGATACTTTAAATTTTAAGCTAATGATATACGCCAGAGGTTTCCAACCTTGGCAACTTTAAGACTTGTGGACTTCAACTTCCAGAATTCCTCAGCTTTGGCTGAGAAATTTTGGGAATTGAAGTCCACAAGTCTTAAACTTGCCAAGGTTGGAGACCCCTGGTATAGGCCACACAAGTAGTATTTAGCCATCCAAGAAAAGGCTTGTTATTTATCACACAATTATGGTAACAGCAGACAACTGGACTACTAAATGCAGTCTCATGGCCTGTTCTTTCTCAAGTACAGTTCCGAGTTGAGTCTGTGCAATCAGTTTTGTTATATCAACCAAAGAACATATCAGGTTGGTTTTAACATCTGTCCTCATTCCAAAGGAGACAAGGATTCAGCCCTTATAGTCAAGCAGTTGGTATGCTGAAGATTTTGATACGTATTGCATGTCTCAAAGTATATACTTAATATACTTTGATAAATTTACATCACATAATTCCAAATCCTACTTAGACCCAAACTTTCTTTGCATTTGTCCCTTCCTTTCAGACTTACATTGGATAGGACTACTAAAACAAAAAATATAATAAAGTGAAAAGAGCTACAAGTCAAACTTTGAATTGCTTAATGATAAATTACTTTTTGGATTCCAACTTCAAGACAATTCTTCCACATCTACCAGTCTGCTCTGAACCTAAGCATGCAACTATAGCTGGCTGGGAAATGTCCTGGCATGAAATTGTCCTTGTTAGTTGAGAATACATGGTAGGTAGCACACTGCACACAAGCGTACAGTAGTACTGAAAAGTAAAATATCTTCCTTTTCTGATCTTGTTCCTTGAGAATTCCCTAATATTATCTGTTTTAAAAGAAACAGTTTATTCATTCTGTGTTTATTATAATATACCTTGCAGAATATGATTAGGTTTCCAAAGAGCAACTCTATATGAAGCAGTTTAAGATGATCTATTTATATAACTTATTTATATAACTTATTCAGCAAAATTAATGCTAAAAAAAACCACTTTTTCTATCTAGTGACTAACATTTTTCATCTGCTTTTGTTCTCCTTTATCAAATGATTCCAGTAAAAAATTAGGAGGATGACTTCCTTGGGTCAAATATAGTCAGTCTCAAAGGCCTTACATGGCTGAGTGTTCTTCGCATCAAGTAAACTTCAGGAATAAACCACTTTAATCCTTTGTAACCTATGAGCATATAGGAAAATATGCTGACCTAAGTATTGTTTTTTGTCTTCCCACAAAATACATAAATTCTGTCAGTCAGCACAAGATTAAGAAAAAGCATATGAAGCTTCTCAACAATACAATTGTGTTGTGATTAACAAAAATAATTTACATCATCATCACTATGAGGCTTTTAAGGAGAATTATATTTAATAATTTTATCTTTACATAGGTCTGCTAATATTTAAATACTTATTTTCATTTCTTTTTTTTTTATAATTCCCTAGTCTTTGTCAGGAAAATCCTAGAAGTTACGGATGAAATTCATAATGACAGATATCTATACAGAGAGTTTATGGAGATATGCGTAGTAGCATGCTATTTACCACCTGTACCATTTCGTATATGATTTGGGATCCTAATTGCTAGTTAACATATTATTGCTGTATTTTTGCTGCCAAGGTGGAGGACAGCAAATTGGTGAAACTGTCTGCTACAGCCTGGAGGGACCATAAGCACATGGACTTGATATATCATTTGTTGCTCTGGTCCATCTACCAGGAAGTAGAGGAAAATGAACCAAATAAAGTCATCCATGCAGCAATAGCAATAGCACTTAGATTTATATACTGCTTCATAGTACTTTGCAGCACTTCCTAAGCGCTTTACAGAGTCATCATATTGCCCCCAACAATCTGGGTCCTCATTTTACCGACCTTGGAAGGATGGAAGGTTGAGGCAACCTTGAGCTGGTCAGGATCGAACTTCTGGCAGTGGGCAGAATTAGCCTGCAATATTGCATTCTAACTACTGCGTCATCACGGCTCTATCAAAGAGACTAGCATTGTTGGCAGAATGTTTCCTGCAATCTGTACAATCTGTACATGACACAGTTGGTAAATTGCTTTAAATGGAGTTTTGTTAGTAAATGAAAATAGAAAGGAATCCTGCTGATAAAAAGAACCCTGCACTATTCCTTTTCATTTTCTTATCAGATACAGTAGTGGAATAGAGGCTTTTCTTACACTGTGCATGTTGCTTTTCAGTCCTTTGTGGTTCTAAAATAACTGAGGAAGAAATATTCAGCCTGCAGACTATTTCCTGTTTTGTAAGAGTGTTATAGATTGCCTCAGTTCAGATACTGGCAACTACAACTCACTGAGATGAGATATGCACAGTGAATTCTTATGACAGTCTAAAACAGTACTTCTTAAACTTGCTGGCTGGGGAATTCTGGGAGTTGAAGTCCACACAGCTTAAAGTTGCCGAATTTGGGAAACATTGGTTTAGAAATTTCCCCTCTATATAGCGCAGTATAAAACTGAAATAAAACATGCAGATGTATCCACAGATACACAGACATAGGCAAAGACAAACACAATGTGATATTTAAAAGAAGAAATAATCAGGACCCACATAACACCTTCCATGAAACTTAGAATATAGCAATATAGTTTATTTATGGTACTGGAACTTTGAGCCACAGCTACCATTTCTCAAATATCTTGGTTTTCTTATAAGATTGAGTCGTAAATAAATACCCAGCTTTATATTTCAGTTGTATTTTCAACATGAAAATTTGCTTGTGACCACTGACTGGATGGAAGCGATTGTTCTTAAAAGGACTGTGTCAAAACTCAACTGCATCCAAATATAAACATATAACTTTATTTGGTAATAACGGCTGATATTATTGATATATTTTCTCTTGTGTATGCCCACCCCTGTAAATCTTCTATTCTGCAAATATCATGATCAGACAATGCAGTACGTAATTTGCCTTTGTCATTTGACTTCCTCTGTATGGAGTAACTGAGGTTTCATCTTTTTAACAGTTCAGAAAAATAGGTTGTTCACTTTGGGGCAAGAGAGTTGCTTTTTGGGCTTGTTGTCCTTTTTCACATTGTCCCTTGTGTTTTTCTATTCCCATATAATTTAATTTCAATTTCTCCTCCCATCTTTTGAAAAGTATGGAAAGTTGATATGGCATAAGGAAATGCTAAGGGGCAGTCTTAGCAGGCTGAAGGAACTACAATCTTCTCAGCTCTGCCTTTAGTATTGCAATATGTTATTTGAAAATGAATGTTCAGCCCACTTTCTCTGATATGTACAATTAGATTTTTGATTAAAGCTGTGGAGGAGGACAGTTAAACCCCAGCTCCATACATGAAGGTTTACTATGGAGAACATTCAGTGGTCTTCTTGGACCCTGGAGGGGCTTTTCCACCCCTCTGCTCAGTGAAACCCAATCTGTGCCTAATATCCACCTCTTGACACTGACTTTCAAACTCTCCATAAGTCAAAATTAGTTCCCTTCTATACATACTGTATGTATGTCAATACATTCGTATTTCTGTATGTGTGTGTGTGTGCGTGTGTGTGTATACACACACATGCACACACATATCTGTGTACATAGTAGGATGCTTTTACCTCTTATAAAATTGTACTTCCATTTCCAAGAAGAAGTTTGTGGGATGAAGAGTGTGTTTCAGAGGCAAGAATCTTCTGGGAAAGGTGAAGGTGAATTTGCAGTTTTATCCTAATGAAAGTGGCCCTATAGCACCAGCTAGCACAGGAAGCCTTTGTGTGTATGTACAGTTAACCCTACAAGCGTTTGTAACCCACCAGAACCCGCTGGTCAGGCCCACTGGAAGGACCTCCCTGCTAATTTTTCCCCCCTTAAAATAAAGCCAGATGGATTAAGCCATCACAACTGGCTCCTTGTGTTTTCAATTTGACATTTCACTGACAATCCCACAGTATTTTCTTTTCTGCATCAACACCATGTGGCTTCCATTGACATCACTATTGAGGAAGATGTCTGAAATTAGCCTTTTTTTGAAAGGAAAGGAAAGGGAGGGGGTATAGATTGGAGTGGCAAATACCCAGCAAAAGAGCCTCACATGCAGCTCAGCAGTATTAGTTTTCTCAACACTCACCATACCAAGCCTTCCCTTTTTGACATATGGAAAGGTAATGCAGCCTAGTTTTCTTGCAAGTGTGGTAACATTTCCAATTTCTCAAGGGTAGCGAGCCACCTGTGAACCGATTGCTCCGGTGAATCAACATAGTATTTTCCTCTGTTATTTTCTATTTGGACTCCGCTAACGGACCCCTTTTTATCTCTCTGAATTGAAATTCAGGAAAGTGCTAATCTATTTGACTGCAATTCTACTTTCTCTACTGCATCTCCTTGTATATAACTTCCCTCCTTTTTTTGTGTCTATACCTCCAGAAGAGAATTGTAAATTATTTGGCAGAACGACTCTTTGATAAAACACTGGGACCCATGTATATGTACTGTATGTATTAACGTGTAGATGAGGATCCTTACTGTATGTAAAGTTTTATGGATGGTTATTTTTTAATTTATGTATTTAATATAGGGTTCAATGACCACTGGTGTTTTAGTTTGTATAAAAAATAATAATAAAACTGCAGCATTTTTTAAAACTTCACTTTACATTAATGGATGTATTATCCACAGCTTGTTTAAAACCTGATTCTAGAACAATATATACAGAGGGCAAGAGAGCAATAAAATCCCATCTGCTTCCTGTCACATGCAAATTATAATCACAAAATGAGCAGATTTTCAACGTGGGGCTGTATTCTTGCCAGGAATGATCAGGGCAACATCCTGGTATATATGAAGTAATAATAAAGTTGTGTGCTTCTGAATATGTGCTAAGTTAATTTTATTCACCATTAAGTCATTACCTTAAAAATTTAGAAGAAAGACAGCAGTGCACTTGAGCCCTTTGAAGTTCCTTTTCAGACATTAAGCCAATATTTCGCAACTTTTGCAAGTTTAAGATCTGTGGCCTTCGGTTCCCAACTGCTGGCTGGGGAATTCTAGGAGTTGAAATCCAGCCCATTCATCTTAAAGTTATGGAGCTTGAGAAAAATTGAATTACGCATCTTCCTGCCCTATCAGGATTTTTCTGACTAGAAGACAAACCGCAATGGCTTCTAAGCCAACTACATGGTTTTAAAAACCAAGGATGCTTCAATTAAATAAAACAACTTGATGAAGTCAAACATATCACTGGATATAAAAAAAAGGTATCAAGAAAGTGCACCCAATATTCATAAATAAGATTCCTTTGTAGATCTCTTGTGACAAAAGATCCCAAATGCTTAAAAGACCAGTTGTAAACCACAGTTGGAAAACTTTGAAGCATAAGCAATTGTAAACTAGAGGATCAGTGCTCTAATTCAATACAAAACTGTTTCTGATGCTTAAATGATAGAATTTTGCATTCTTGAGTGAAGGGAGAATTTTAAGTTCTGCTGAGTGTTTATATAAGAAAGTAATTAGCATTAGCAAACAAACATTTTAGTACGTTTGGCATTAAGTAGCAAGACCATCTGCTAAAACCAGCTGTTGTATTAACTGCAATCACTACACTGGGTATATGTATGTACTGTATGGGTGTAAATACACACACACACACACATGGATACATGCATACACACATACATACATACATACATACATACATACACACACACACACAGAATAGTGTCATATGCATCAGAGGTGGGTTTCACATAATTTTACCATCATTCACGACGCACCAAAAATGTGAGCAAGCAAGTGCTTGCACACATGCATGTGACTTAGAAAACATGGCTAAATAGCATGGCATAGTGCCAGGGCAGAGGAGGGGCATAGGTTGCCATTACCGGTTCACCCGAACCAGTCCGAACTGGTATACATGCATATCAGTGGTGGAATACCACCACTGATATGCATGTATATGTGTGTGTGTATTTGTGTAAGCATAAATGCACATGCATATTATTCATTAATGGCTGGTCTCTCTCATGATAAAGTGCTTAGCTCAATGGTTTGGTTCGGTGCGTTAGACAAAAATGGTTAAGCAAACGATTTGTTCGCCTTTCTACATATCCTAATGGCTAATTTTTTTCAAAATGTAGACATTCACACATTTGCCTACCATATAATATTTAAAGATTTTTTTAAATAATATGATAACTTGGATGTTAAAAGAATAATAGTTTAGCACCCACATATACTGTAATCCTTGACTTAATTCTGATTCTATCCACAAGGTGGCAGCCATTTGCTGTCATTCAAACAAACATAGATTTGAGTAGAAAATCAAGAGAATTTTTTGTGAATCCAGTGTTTTATTCTTATAATTTTCTTTATCTAGACATTATGTGTTTTCTTCTGTGTCCAAATTAACTCCAAATCCTAAATTATTTGAAATATGACTCAGTGCCAGCATCTTTTCGGCATCTCAAAAGATGTGGGAAAGCTCTTATTCGACAGATTGGTCTTTGCACAGTCTTAACGTTTCTGCCTAATACTTAAGCCTGCTGTGTGACAGGCACACTAGTTTAATTTCCATACCCTAGTGGCTCATCTTTCAGAATATAAAACCTTGGGATTAATTAACTACACTCTCAGAAGTTCAGCAATCACAAAAAGTCTCTGTTTGAATCGTTTTCTAACTTCTAAACTTTGGAAGCATTTGCTTCTGTTTTAAGGTGGAATAAAGGATTTTATTATGTCCGTATGCCTTCTGCCTCTGTTACTCCATCCTGCTGTGATTGTTGAACTTTAATAAATAACATGAATCAGCAGTAACTCAAATCAGGGGCAGGAACAATAACCTCATATGTGTGCGT